GCACTGGCTAGGACCATGGCGTCAGCATTTGATGACGAATCACGAGTTACGCCAAAATCATAGGAAAATCATAGGAAAAACGAAGAAGTCGGCCTTCTGTGTACCTTATTCTGTGACAGGACTGAACAACGTTGTTCACAATATTGTTGAGCCTGAATCGGGTGTAACAATATTGTTCAATATTGTTGACAACTATGAACAATATGGGCTGCAAAACATTGTTCAATCCTCTTTTCATCAGTATTGCAATTGTCACTCGCGTGATAATTCGTCATTTGGTAATAGGCCATTTCTTTCAAAAATGCTTTCAACACCTTTTCTGCAACTTTAAGTGCTTTCTTTTTAAACTTTCAACAGATGATGCTCTTGAGTGTTTAATCCATAAATTTTGATCCAAAAAAGCCGCAGTAAAATGCAAAAGTCTGTGTTTTTCAGGATGCCATTTTGCTAGCAAGTGTCATGGCACAGATGATAGATTATACCAGATGAATCAATGTGTATCTATCCCTATGATTATCGTGTCCTCGATTTTCGTGAGGCTATCACGCCAGATGATGCATGCGACTGCCAAAATGGCACTTAGGCCATATAAAATAAATTCCTTGATTCTCATCGCTAAATTTTAAAAACTCCCAGGAGGCGGGAGGTTTATAGTTTATATTTTATGTCAAAATATAAAAACAAAGTTTAAAATTTAAAAAATTGGAGAGGGAGGTCTTTTTATATTTGCCCTTAAATATATTATAGAAGAACGTTATATAAGTGGATAATTGCACATGCGCTAATGAACATGCATAAGGGCCACACAAATTGTTGTAATAAGGCTATAAGCCCATTTTTTCCTTCAGTATTCCAAGCATCCCTTAACATGTTGCAATATTAACGGCAAAACAATTTTATATCGCAAAAATTCCAATATAAAATATAAAAATAACTAAATCTCTGAAGATGCTCGGGCGGTAAATTTATATTTTATAACAAAATACAAAAATATATCAACGCGGAAACCAAAATATCGTCGGGCGGTGATGAGAATCAAGGAATTTATTTTATATGGCCTTACTGCCAAAATGTGTGATTGCTCATGTTTATGGCGAATCATGGTGTGGATTACACTTACTGCCAAAATGGCGGCCAACGCGTGCTTATAAAAAATCGCAGACACAATCATGGTGTGAGTGTGACATGTTCATCTAGGGAAATTTGAGGTCCTATTAAGTTACACATCTGGTATATACTTCATTCTGTGTCTTGTCAGATCAGAACGTAAGAAGGTCATTTTGTGATGTTCTAAACTACAGATCAACCATGGCTGACAATCAAAATGATGGTGGCGGCAGAGATCCAGGGAACGGTGGTGGCAGAGATCCAGGGAATGACGCCAGAGATCCAGGGAATGTTGGCGGCAGAGATCCAGGGAACGGTGGCGGCAGAGATCCAGGGAATGGTGATGACAATGGAGGCAGGAGGTTTTGTATTTTTTAAACATTGCGTTCCAGCACTCGTCCTTTTACAAATTCAATTTTATAGTGCTAGACAGAGTAAGATAATAAAGTAGGACACATTTGGTTCCCGGGTACATTTTATGTTAAGACCACGCCGAAGATATGCCAGCATTTGAACGAGGTCACACCAAAACACAAGAAAAAGTTGAAATTTTACCCCTGACATTGAAATTACATGCCAAGCTTTAGAATGTATTTTATGACAGTATCACAAAATGTTCATCTCAACTTTTGAAAGAACATCTTATTATTACTGTCATAATTTTATTTAAAATTTATCGTTATTTGTGCCAGAAAAAAATTAGGCCTAAGGTACATTTGGGCATTGCCACACAAGGGTTCATATTATGAAACAGGTTGTATTTACAGGGCTGCAATATATCACTCAAATTCATACAAAATGCAAGATCAGTGTATTTGTTTTTGTGTTTTGTATAGTTGGGTTGTTCCTCTTGGCATTGGACTTGGTGGTGTGGTTGCTGTTGTAGCAGCACCCCTTGCGGTTGCAGCTGCTGGTTTTACAACTGGTGGCATAGCCGCTGGTTCTGTTGCTGCCTCAATGATGTCATCTGCGGCAGCAGCAAGTGGTGGTGGTGTAGCCGCAGGTTCACTTGTGGCAACCTTACAAGCAGTTGGTGCAACAGGTGGTCTAGCTGCTGCTGGTGGCTCAGTGACCGCAGCTGTAGGAGGCATTGGTGCTTCTATTGGAGCAGGAATTGGTTGGTTCGCAAACAGGTTTACCCGTAGAAACAACAATGATGGTAATAATGATGGTGGTGGTGGTGATGGTGATGATAGTGGTAGTGGTGGTGGTGAAAGTGGTGGTGGTGATGGTGGTAGTGGTGGTGATGGTGATGGTGGTGATGGCGGTAGTGGTGGTGGTCGTGGTGATGATGGTGGTTGTGGTGATGGTGGTCGTGGCAATGGTGGTAGTGGTGGTGATGGGAAAAATTATGGTCAATCTGTACATAGTGGTGGTAAATCTGGAGATAGTGGTGGTCAGTCTGCAAATAGTAGTGGTGAATCTGAACATGGTAATCTACCGGCCAGGAGTCGTAGTGCACATACTCCTGCTGAACATGATGACGTTGATAGTGATATTGAAGATATGAATCAAAAAACAATTTGTATACGCAAACAATAGTTAATAATAACATAAATCTTTCTTACAAGATGATAAATTTCTTACAAACACGCAATTGTTGACAATGGTATACGGCAATACGTCAGGGGCCGGTTGTACGAAGGCGCAGTCCACTGGATAGTGATTTTTCAACTGTTGTAAAATGCTTGAAAAACTTTGAAACTACGGATATAGACGACACAAGAAATATAAAAAACATTTAACTTATAAACACTAAACTTTAATACGAGTTATACCAATCAACGACTGATTTAGCAAAACTTGAAAAAATCACACAACTGGTCTCAGACAATATTTTTCATATTTTTCAATAGACTTGGATGAAGTCCTCAGGGGCGAAACTAGCCTCTTTTAATTAAAGTGTCTGCTAGAATTGCCCTGCGAAACCGATGATGCCCTGCAGCAAAAAAATTTTTGGCCAATATTTCTCCCAAAAATGTTGGCGAGGGGGGGGGGGGTATCTGTAAAATATGACCAATATCTGTATATATTTGACCAATATCTGTAAAATTTAGGTCTATAAATTTTATTCAATTCCCTCTGGAAGCTACTTAATAACTCTACGTTCTATCATTTAAAATCTTTCATTGCCCTGCCAATCCAGATGATTTGCCCTGCCAATCCAGATGATTTGTACTTTGGGGGGTGTCACACCCCCGCCCCCCCTCAAGTTTTGTCCCTGCAAGTCCTCTCTAGAGTCCGAGTCGCGATGAGATCGAGCGGAGGGAGGTCGATCCCTCGGACTCTAGAGAGCAAGGGTGGGTTGACTACAAAATGCTTGTAGTTTGCTATAACTACAGCTACTTCAAAAATATGTAGTCAGCTACAACTACTGCTACTTTTGAACAAAGGTAGTTCGCTACTGACTACAGCTACTGCTTAAAAAATGTAGCGAACTATTTCGCTATTTCGCTACACTATATTTTTTAGTTTTACTATATTTGGAGCATCTACTAACTCTAGTCCAGTTCTGGCCCCTGACAGGAGCGCGGTCAGCGGCCAGACTGGACTACTACTAACTCAGGCTGTAATGTAATCTATGGCCATCTATAACAAATCGACTTACGAGTAGCAACAGTAAACACAAAGCAACACGTTTTTGTAAGCACTACAGTGTTCAGGAGTGCAAATTGACTATTGAGTATTGATTTTAAGCAAACCGTGTCTCAATATCATGCTATTCTATCAAGTTGCTAACAATTTTAAAAAGTAGCGAATAGCGATTCGCTGTTTGAAAAGTAGTCAACTACTTGGCTACTTTTAGGCAAAATGTAGTTCGCTATAACTACAGCTACTGTTTTAAAAAAGTAGTCAAAAACTACTGGCTACTTCAAAATTGTAGTTCGCTACAGTAGCGAACTACAACTACTTCGCTACAACCCACCCTTGCTAGAGAGACGGACTTGATCCAAGTCTAATTTTTCAACTGCTGTAAAATGCAACTGTTGTAAAACTACGAATATGGATCCCACAGTTAACAAAGGGGAACTTCAAGTCTTCAACTTGTATATAGAAAGTTTAATCTTGGTTATACCAGTCAACACGGCCAATTTAAGAAAGCTGAAAAAATCACTATCCGTTATAGCTTGTGTGTCAGACTGTAAAACTAGACTCAGTATTTAAATGCCAGGTTATTGTGATTCAGCAATACCTAGTTATTACAGTATAACTGCCTCTTCTGTATAGTATTATCCTAGAGTATTATATGGTAATATTTGTCTAAATATATATAAGCTGTATAAGTATCACATGACGTTTAAAACGAATTGCAAGTAACACGGTGTCAAGTTTCTTTGGCTTTGAAGAAATGCTATTCCAGGAATTGCGTTTAAATAGAGAAAGTGAAACAACAGCGTTTTGAATTTGTACTGACAAACGTAAAACGTTACTATAAATTAAGTACAGCTCAAACTGCCAGAAAAGACATGAAGGGTTTTTCAAGAAAAGGTTTTGTTCTTCTTATCTGTGTTTCTCTTATACTGGATCAGAATGTGGCTTGGCGGTGAGTGTTTTAGGAGAAAGATTGTGAGAAACCATTTTGTAATACGCATGGCTTAATTAATTAATAATTATAAATTCATGAGATTGATGAGAAAAACACCAAGGATGTTACGATCGTGTGGGAGTTTCAGTGTATAGTTGATACAAAATCAGTGATTTACGTCAACTTTAAATTTTTCTCACCAAATACTGTATCATTCATGTCTTTAAATTATTGAAGAATACGAACGTTTTCATCAAGACAAATTACAAGATGCATACATAGAGGCGCTCAAACGTAACGCAATACCGTTCCGTGTACTAGCTAAAGTGAGACTGATTTGCATAAGCCATCAAATTGGTCGAGACCAAATGGAAACTACGCTTTTGCTACTTTTACTTTCATGCCAGTGGCGTAGCCAAAGGGGGGCGACCGCCCTCCCCCCCCCCCCCCCCCCCCCCCCCCCCCCCC